TACAGGACATAATCTCATTCCTGTTCCAAAGGGACTTGGGTGATAAAATAATTTTGTAATAATTTTACTGTCAGCCAGATCTGCAGTCTGATAACTGAAAACCTGCAAATGAATCAGTAGAGCTTTCATTTTTGTGAATAAGGTTGTATTTAACATGTGATACGTGGTATAAATACCACTCAGTATACTAAGTTGCTGAGGATGAAAGTATCTAAGAAATGCAAGTATTTAATAGAAATGAAGAATAGAAATAGTAGAAATAAAGTTAATGTAATTTAAACACAAACTGCATTTAATATATGTGATGGCTTATGACAATTAGATTGAATTGCATGTAGTTTTGATGTATTCTAATCAAAGCCTTCTTTTTATTCTTTCACTTTCTGCCCTGGGTGTGTGGAAGCAACTCGGACACCTAATAACATTAGCCATACTTTCTCACAGACATTAATGCTTGATATATTTCAAATCAATTTTTTATAAGCCCAGAATCTCAGCAGTCCAAGACTGAAAAAATTACATCTGTCTCAAAACTACAGGATGTGTGGGAGGGGACAGATCAAGCTCAGCAAAGGTGGAACAGCACCCTGCCCCACACCCCATCCCCTTTGGAGCCTCTAGTGCAGCTGTCAGTGTCTGGCAGGATGGAAGCAATGTCCCACCCCTGCCCTGCAGGCCTAGTACAGCCCAAGAGTGGCTATCAAGCAAAAGCCCTGCCTGGGGAAGGATGGTCACAGGAAGCCAGAGTAGATAAAAAACATTGCACAAAGATGCACCTGGTTGTGTACCTTATTACCAGGACTTTGGAGGAAGCATCTTCATGATTTTTCCATCATAGCCTGGCCTTTGTATGATTTAACCAAAAAAAGAGCTTGTGACTGGACACTGATACATGAGGAAGTCCTAAAGCTGCTGGGTTTTGAGATAGCTCTTGGCCCCATTCATCCAGAGGACCCTTTGCAGGCTGAGTGGGGTTTTGCTGTCCATGGGCTGTCAATCCATGTGTGGCAGCATGGACCAGAGGATCCTACTCATCCAATCCAATTTCACTCACACAGCATTAAGGATGCTGAAAAGCAAGACTCTGTAGAAGAAAAAGGGGGTGTGATGAAATCAGCCCTACAAGAAGGGACGAGATTGTAAGACAGCAGACAGTAATACAGAGGGGCCCTTCTAAGGTCCTTAAGACAAGGATTTTGGGCGCATCACCCATTTTTGGGGTGGCACAAAGAGAAGTGGTCGGGAAGGGGAATGCTCAGATAGAGCATTATAGCCACATTCACAGAAGGGAGTTGTTTTCTCTCTCCAACCCCCACAGCTTCAAAAGGGTGTTTTTAAAAGGGGATATTAGGCAGCTAAGATTTGCTAGACTAAAAGCAGCAGAAGAAACAGAGAAATGTTACTAAATTAGCAGTAAATTCACAACTTTGACAGTAAATCTTTTGTCCTTCAAACTAGCCCTAGAAACCAAAATGATAATTGCAGTAACCTATCTAAAGCCTTCATTTAAGTGTCTTTCTCTGTATCTAATATTTTCTGCTAGAATGTAGCTGCATAAAGCTGTACAGTTGAGACTCTAACAGCAACCTAACCTATATGAGAGTGCTCTTATGCAGAATGCACACTGCAGTGTTTGCTTGGGTGCACACACTACAAATTCCTCACCTTCAGACAGTAACTGAAACTGATGAAACATCAAAGATTTATAACTACTTGAAACACCATCACTTCTGCCCCAAAGGAAAAAGTTAACCTCAGGCCTTCAATCCTCCAAATTAATAATCAGTCCTTAGAACTTAAGGTCTTTATTAGTTCTTCAAATTTAATGTTCTCACTGTACCTCCTACAGTTTCCTCACAAATTTGCTTAAATAGGAAGAATTATTTAATTCCTAACAATAAACTTGGACCAAAATAAAAGAACAACATTGTGCACATTTACAAGCATTCGCCACTACATTAGCAGCAAGGAAACATATTATTATTATAAAATGCATGCCTGAAATTACAAGGCTTCAAAAGCATTTTTATTTCAAATCAGTTTTTAAAGAGTGTGATTTGTCTAACATGTTATTAGGACCTCTTCAGATGAAAGGAGAAAAATGGATTAATAACAAAGAGCATACTGATTGAAATCTAATTTCTATTATCACAGCTAAATTATGTTTTTGCATGCAAGCTGAAGCTATGTATTTTGAGATACACAGTCCCCTAACACAATGTCACTCATTTCTCTGCTCCTACTTAGAGTTGTTTCCTGTTGAATTGAAAATAACAGTGCCTCAAGTAACTACGCAGTATAAAATGCTTCCAGTTAGAAGCCAAGTCTCTAACTAGAGAAAAGAATTAAATCAATCATTCCCAAACAGTGTTTTCAGCTGAAGAATAATATCCACATAAAACCACTTTAAAACATTATGTACCTGGACTATTATCAACACTATTCAGATGATTATTTTTTCACCCCCCAAATCCCACAACAATAAAACTCCTAAGAGAATTTTTATTCTATCAAATAATGACTAAAAAAAAGAAAAAACACAGAACAAACTGAATCAGGAAGTCTAGTAAATGAAAGATATTAAAGCAGTACAAAAACAAAAGCAAACTTATTATGAGCTGCCCCAGGTTAACAGATCTTCAGTGCACTGTCAAGTACTTAAAAATCCTGTAAGCTGATCTGGAAGTTGAGAGTTAATTCAACCCCAGAAGTGAAGCCCCCCGAACCAGACAAGCCTTTTAAAAGCAAACACCTCCAGCCCCAACCCCATCTTCCAGGCCTTCAGGGTTCCTAGGAGCTACTTCCAGCACCAACACACCCCAGCTAGGGGCACAGCCCAATTTCTACCTTACACGCTTTGTGGCAGACAGCTTCCATGAGAGAGCTGTATTAAATTATCTTCTAGGGGAAAAACACTGTTACTCCTTAAGGTTATCAGGGGGCCAGTTGGGATGAAAGGCCAAGGACACAGACTTTAGTTTCCACTAATCTGCATTTTCTGATGTGAAAATAAAGCTCTTGCAAAACATAAATCAGTTCTCACCAGTACGGACACCACCTTGTGGCTGCCAGAATTCCTTTGATTGCTGCATGTGCTGAAAATCAAACACCCGCAGCACATGCGTTTAGTTATCTTGTTAGCTCCCAGACTAAGGGGGGGATGTGTAAATAAATTAGTACTGTGTGCAACACAGCTTTTGCTAACCTTTTACAACAACAGGGACTTGGAGTCTTCCAAAAAGCAAAGAGAAGGACCAGGCATTATAAAATTGTAATAGCAGAAAATGTAAATGATGGGATGTCACATATGGAAAGCTGAGGCTTCCTGATCAGCTACAGCCAATAGCTACACAGGCATTTTAGGCCAACTGCAACCTAACTTTCAGTCTGCGCAATAAAGTGGTACTAAGACATTTAATTTTTTATTTCAAATTGATGGCTTCTATCACAAAATCCAATGAACATATCAAATAAAATAATTCCTTTTCATAATGATGAAAATCTATTTTTTCCTTAACAATGAAATCTTTGATCTTAAATCCTCTGATCATGACATTGAAAGTATTTACGAATCAGAAAAAAAACTATCTAGATGTTGATAAAGGGATGCCAAATTATTTTATTTTTCTATCAGTCTAATCCTCCAGGAAGCTACAAACATATGTGTCAACTTCTCAGCTAAAACAAGATTTTTGACAGCACATCTTCAACTTTTTTGTCCAGAGAACCCATTTTGCAGCTGCTTCTTGTCATTCTTTCAGCAGAGAGCACAGACACACTGCAGTTTCCATTGCATAGCTTTTACATCCCAGTTTGAGAATCCTCACCAACATCTGAACAGACTCAAACAACTCTTCCATTCAATTGATAATTTATTTGCAAAAAATACCATCTTACATTAAGTAATTTACTTTTAGAGTTGTTGGAAAGTCCACGTGAGCAAAGACAAGTTTGCTTGCTGAGTAGCTTGCTGAGTGTCTAAGTTCTGACTAGTCACTAGATATGGCACATCACCTCAGCCAGTGACATCTATTCTACTCATGGACTAGAGCATTTCTAAAAACAGTGACAGAAATCATACTGAAAACACTGAAAACCAGGATGCTCAAAATCCTCTTTCTGTGCGAGTGCATGGCTGTTTCGATGACAGATATTCAGTCTCCCAACACTGGAGAATTGTCCCCACGTATGTCTATGCACAGAAAAGACCAAGACAACTCTTTGAACAAAGCTGAATTAATTAGCCTTCCAAAAGTCAAATGAATAACAGAGATCCAACATGAACCTCAAGAACGGTGCCTTCATCAGGCAGGAAATGCTTATGGCAGTGAAATCAAACATCAACAAAAGAAAATTTAAGACTCTTGTTCCATTAGCAATACCAGAAACCATGCTGCTACTGAGAAGCAACATTGCTCCTCACACATTGCCCTGGGAAAGAGCAAACGACCTTTTTAGCCTCCCTTTCTGTACTAGTGCATTAAGTGAGAGAAGGTCATTAATACTACTTAGCATCTCCTACAAACTGAAAATTCTAATCAGATTTTACACTTCTGTCAGCCACTATGTAGTTGAGTTTTTGCAGTTCCTACCAGAAAAGGTCACAATACTGCTGTTTTCAGGGGAAGTTAACGAATAAAGGCATTTATCTAGTGTCAGACCATTTTGCTGACCAGGTAGGCCCTGTATAATTTTTTTTTTTTTTAGACCTTTGTTTAACAATTATGATGGATTTTAACTTGTGCTGTTATGAACCTACCTATGAAGCATATAAATGGTTAGAACTTGATGAATATTAATGTGCAAAGTAAAACAAGAGGATAAAAATATCTTCCAAAAGGTATTACCCTCAGACAACCTGCCACTGTACCTTAGCTGCTGCTGTGATAAAAAAAATACATTAAGAAACATCTCTCACCAAAGATTTCTGTGCTAAAATCAAATACTAATCACTACCTAAATTGAAGACATAATCAGGGTTACAGGAAACTTTCACTTACATGTTGTTCAGAAGACCCAAGAGAACATCAGTCTGTTTTCTTTCTGAATCAATAAATAATCACAATTTCTTGCAATAAAGGAATTCATTTCTGAAAGACAAAATACAAAACAAAAAAAAGTGAGGTTAAATTATTCACAGGTTTTTTGGTAGCCACACTGTGATAATACATGAACATATATTATCACAGCTGGGAAATTTACAGGAACATGCTAAAATTTCATTTAAAAACTTGAATAATTAAATCTTTATTTGTAAGGGTAAGCATATTATTAATATTTTATAATACTGAAAGAATGTTTAATGTATAGCTTAGTGTTACTTGAACTGCAGGGAGTTTAATATTTCTGTTTTATTTTGTACCATCAGGAGAAAAGGTTTCTTTTTCAGGAAGGAAGTATTCTCAATTTCTACCAAAAATGTCTTTCACAAAGAGCCTAACAAAAAATGGAATTGTGTCCAAAAAAACCCTAACATTTTTCTTATGTAAAAAAATATCAGATTTTCTTTGAATATTAATGGAAAAAGGATCTAAAGAAAATCCTGCATATTATATCCCAGAGTACCTTTCTTATCCCTTTTCAATATGTATTAATGAGAACACATGAAGAAAAGAAACATGTAGGCTGAATAATAGACTCTTGCAGTAAAATCAATTTAAAAGTGGAATAGGCTGGCAAGAAAATGAAGACTACACTATACATAAATACATGTGAATATATACTCTGTATACACTTAATTTCTACTGCTCTGCCAGAAGTTTAAGAGAGCATAACTTTCCCTCTAGTAAGAAATCATACTAATTTAAAAAATTTTGCCTCATACGTCTGAACAAACACTAGTTAACAAGTCTTGTTTCTTATCCTAAAATAGCAAAATGTAAGATTTCCATCAATGTTGTGGAACTTGCTGTCAACAGGGAATTACATGCATTTTTGACAAGTGATTCAGATTCCTGAATATTTTTAACTGGATAAGTAAATTATTATGGGGTTTTTTTTCTTTACTGTGTGTGACACCTGTGAACCAGTACTCAGCCATCCTACAGATGAGGATGCTAAACAATAAGGAAAAAATTACTTAGAAGATTTTAGTAATTTTTAACCTTTGACGACTAAAATAAAATATTACTGAGTGTAAACTGCAGTGAGAGAATGTGTTAGGTTATGTCTACTAAGTCCACTCACCATCTAAAGCTTCATCAAATCCTTACAAAAAATGAATGATGGCATGCAGGTTCTTGTGGAATGAGGGCTGATAGCATGATACAGCTTTCCAGTTTTGTCAGCATTTTATGGAACAGTAATTCTGACACCCTGCATTTATCTAACCTTAAAGAAATGCAGACTCGCTCCAAGCAACTTGATTTAATGGAAGTCGTCCCTGCCCACAACCGAGAGGTTGAACCAGATGAACTTTAAAAGGGCCCTTCCAACTCAACCTATTCTATGATTTCTTTATTCCCAACAGCCCCTCGCCTGGTTTGACAACTCCCAGTTGTTCAAAAGTCATGTGTGGGTTCACAGAGGGTAAACAAATGCATGAAACATGGTAAAATTATCTTTCCATATGGAATTTAAGTATATGTAGCCTTTCCCTCACCAAACTATGTCTCTTACAAGAAAAAATTCCAAAAATATTCATTCATGTGCAGCTCACCTGCTTTTAGTCTCATAGAAATATCTCCACAGGACTAACTAAAAGATGGTTATTCCTGCTTAAGAATGCAGCAGTTCAGTGCAACTTCTCTGCCTTGGATAATGTAGTGAAACTTTATTTCACAACCATGTGTGTGGTCACAAAATATTAGGACTGCCATCTAAGAGTGTGATTAGGGCCTGCAATGATCACATAGAAATAGCTAGCCCCTGGTACCATCTGCTTATTATGAATATACAGAGTATGGAAAAAAAGATCATTAGAGTAAAAGTGTTAGAAATTTGAGCAAGAAAAGAAAATGAAATGAAACCAGAGAAATGTAAAATTTGGGGGAAAAATCAATTTACTGACATTTAAGAAGTCATTGGTATGGCATATTACAGAAGATAATTCAGGGAAGAGGAAGATTATAATGGTTTTATGAAGAAATAAAACCATGAAGTCCTCTAAAATAGTTTGGCTCACACTCCATTCTCAAGTAGAGACCAAAATTAACACTATTAAGCATGAAGAGCCAAAGCCAATTATATTCTCATGCAAAAATATTTTATGTTTTAATAATCACTACTGAAAATTTAACACTGTGAGTTTAGGGGGAAAAAGCAGTAAGAGAAGAAATGGAATTAAGGTGAGATATACTCTAAATACAAAACCACACTTAATCAGCATGATGCAATATTGATGTAATTACAAAATTTTACACAAACATCAGTGAAGGGTGTTATAATTACTGCTGTCTACACTGCAGAGGGTCTTGAGCTTGAAACATTGTAGCTAAGAGAATGATAATGATTAAACACAGCAAGATGAAAGACAGCAAAATGTGTAAGATATTTTCAACATCCACACCCTCAGAGCAGTGTCACTTTTATTTATTAATATTCTCCAAATGCAGGACTTCAGAATAATTCAACTAATCAACTAGCAGATACACTAATCTACTGAAATAGAATCAAGGATGTCCAGACAGCCTTCTGCCTACTTGCCTTCCAGTTACTTCGAGAAACTATTAACAGAGAACATCCGTGGCAATATTTTTCTATTGTTCTACTATCCTTAATATTGTATTCCCAATGTTTAAAATTAAAAAATAAAAACCACAAGATCTTGTCTCAGCTGCAGTGAGAATGAAAACAACTGCTCTCACTCTTCAGTGTAAGAACTCACACTAAAAACCTTGGGTAATTTCACAGACTTTTGTTTCCTACTATCACAATTTTTGTATTTATCAAAACTTCTCCAGCACCCAGATGTAAACAACATGTCCCATCCACAGTTAAGTAGAAATATTACCATGTCATACATACATTTCTATTGCATTTGCACTTCTTTTTATTTTAACTTGCCACTTCAGCAGCAGGGCAATGTATCAAATGTACTTTACAGTCCTTTACAGGGTAATTTTTTCATGTACTAAAAACCCCAGCAAGGTGCAATGCAAACTCTTTTCAACTTGTCTGTCCTGCAAGTTCTCAAACATTAACAGTTGCTAGTTACTCAACTACTTCCAGGATATCACAATACAATAAATAAACAACTTATATTTATCTCTGTTAACTAATTTTCAATTATTCTTGTCTGTATTTTAATTCATTATTAAAAATAGGCTTTTAATTAACCCTTTTTCATGATGTTTCACTGAGTAACTCCTTTTCTTCATCTTCCCTTTATAAATTTTTATAACCCCTTCTGTAGTTATAAGTCACATTTTGACCAATCTTTCCAAATTTGTCCTTAAACAGACATTTCTTCTCCACATAACCACATCTCTATGTTGCTTTTCTACCATACTTTTTTTTGGTTTGGTTTGGGTTTTTTTCGGGGTGATGTGGTTTGTGACAGAGGCAACCCATAGCACTACGATGCAAGGTAAATGAAGTTTTCTAGATGACAGAAAGAGCACCAGAGTTGACACAAGGCCAGCCAATTAGCCCACAACAAAATGTGGTAAGTGCTAGTCAGTCCCTCTAAATTAACTTAGAGGAGTGTAAGGTAATAGTGTAGAGGGGACTAAAACTATGCTTATAATGAGCAAAATAGGGAGAAAATGTAACAACAGAGCTTTTTTTTTTGCTGAAAAGAAAAGACTGAATTGTGCCAAATTTCAGTAGTGTTGGGTAAACAGAAGGGCCAATTAAGGACTTTGCTTCAGGTTCAATTTTCATACTGAAAATGGGTTAGCATACCTGAAGCTTATGAAACACCATTCTTACATTTCAATTTATTTCTTTCCCTTAAAAACCTTAGAACGCAAACACAGCAGTGTCATGGACAACTATTCAATCAAAATCCCTCTGAGAATTCAGAACTCAACTGTCTAAGAGCCAACACAAGTGCAGTACAAAACAATTCAAGTTAGCACTGGTGTTACTAACACAGAAATTTCGGAAGTTATACAGCTACACTGAATTAACTGGAAGAGCTCAGGTTGTAGTCAGTATTTCTACAGCTCAAAAGCTAAGGAGCATATAATATGACTACTACAGGAGAGCTTAGGTATTTTATCCATAAGTAAAGGTGACAGCTTCAAACTATCTTTCTAAGGCAATGGTTCCATACAGAGCCATCAAGGTACAGTAGTGCCTACAATTCATAACCATCTCTCCTTACAGCTTTTTTGTTTTACAACTGCAGCACAAGGAACAATCAGTGCAGTGAAAGCTGCTCATAGGAAGTGAATTGAGTAGCACTTTGAGCTTCCAGGAGTCATACAGAGCTTGTCAGAAATTAGTCAACTTATTCCAAGAAGCGCTGTCTGTGGCTGAGGCAATCTTCATGACATCAGGTGGTGATGCCTTTAACAGTTACACTACATCTCACAACTATATTACCAAGACACTGGAATTTTTCTTTTGCATCACCACTAGAGAGACTTACTCTTTCCTAGTACACCTTTCTGCCCTCTTCCTTATCCCTAATAAATGCATTAAACAATGCCAAAACCTGCTCAGACAAGACAGTATTGTAACCAACCTCTTTTCACAATTTATTGACATTATGAAAAAGTGCAGAATCTTTTCAAAATACCAAACAGGGTTGTTGCTTCCCACAAAGAGAGAAGGAATCAATATCTTGTAGGCATTATATTAGCTAGTCTTTCCTTTTTTTAGCCAAATGCTTTACAATTCTATTTTGAACATTATTCCTGCATTTCTCATATAGTTCAGGACCAAAACTCTGGAGGAAAAAGGAAGACAGATAAAGCAAATTCTATTTCATTTCTGGCAGTCCGTGTGTTACTAAGGGGAAAAAAACCACAGAGAATCAGGCAGGGCATTTGTGAATCCTGGTTACCCACAGAACTAAGCTGTTTGAAATCAATGGATTTTATGGTGTCCTGATCAATGGATTTAAGGTGTCCTGATAAGGGACTCAAAATTTACAGGTTAATGTATCCAAGATTCACTTCATTTCCTGTACCTCCCTTGTGAA